CTCACTTTGCTTGTTTGCAAAGTTTCATTTATTGTGTTAAAGGCACCAAACAACCTCAAACCGAAGCGTAAAAAGGCGTGTGCGAGTGAGGCTGCCTTCAAAATGGAGCCAGTTCCACCAGTTCTGTCCAGAGAAATGGACCAGAACTCCAGCAAGCTACTGAGGGAAGTTTGTGGAAGGAAGCCCAGAAGGTTTAATGTATGTATACTTTTGAATTTGAGGAAAGTTACAACAAAAACAATGTTCTTGCCAAATTTTCTGGCATTTAGGACATAGAACTAATTTTAATCATTCTTTTTTTAAGGTTTTGTTGGCTCCAGTGGCCTTTATTTGAAAGTAGTTAAACAGAGTAATCAGAGAGGAGGAAGACATTCGGCAAATGTCACCAGGGAGGGAATTGAGGACTAAGGCCTCATGGTGGTGAGGCCTTAGTTCTCATCACCATGATGACTAACTGCATGTTGTGCTTTGCCCATGCAGTGGCAAAGCACAACATGGGTTGTGCTTTGCCACTGCACCACCACAGCACCCCAAGTTTAGTAATTATTAACAGGAAAAGTTTAGAAGCTAAAACAAGAAAAGTTTGGTCAGATTTAACTTCAGACAATGAGAATAAAAGTTTGCCTTTTTATTCAGTGTATGTAAATATCTAGATCCATGTCATTGTTCGTCATTGTTCGTCATTGCGGTCCCTGCTGTTGTTTTATTACCAACCCAGCAGAGCTCACTCTCTAAGTTCAAACTCTTTGGCAGACAAACCACCATCAACCAGGATCAAACCACCGGCCCATGTGCCAAACTCCAGTACCGGACAAACACACAACAAAGCATCATAAAACAAGGCCTCGCTCATCCATGTGTGCCAGCCAACATTGGCAGGTGACATTTGATGGTGGATAATAAAAATGGGCTGATGTGGAAAAGGAGGAGGTAAACATTCCCCGCTGGCTTGGGAACAATGGAGTCACAGGGAAGTGATAAGACACAGGACATCCTAACACGGCCGTGTCTCAGGCCTCTGACACACTGCTGCTGCGTCTCCACACACACCAACCCTGCAGCTCCACACAACAAACTGCAACAGTACAGGGCAGAGTGTGCACCATGGTAACGGACCCAACTGATCAGTCGCACTGTCACAACTTAAAATACAGTGAAAGTTTTAAAAAGTAGGAAATAGCTAACTTAGATCTTTGACTGTAGATGGTTTTTATGCTTCTTTAATGACATCGTATTTGGCATAACAGAATGAGAATATTTAGCTCTACAGCAGGAACTCTGATGCAGTAAACGTAAATGTAAAGATTGCTCAGATTTCCTTGTACAGGTGATTTTTGACTAATTTGCTGCTTTAGAATCGATTGTTTCCAGTCCAGGTCTTTCCACTGCCTTTACCGCTTTATTTGTCAAGTATTCCCAGCTTTTTGTCATGTTCCACAGACTTCAAAGTATTTTTTTGGTATTTGATTGTATAGATAATTATCACACCATTACAAAAAAATACAAGTTTTTCTTTCTTTTTTTTTTTTTTTTTTTCCAAAAGTGCAGTTGTGTCTAGTTCTTCGGAGTCAATGTTTTCTTGTAGAACAACCTGTGAGTCTCTCACATCAAATCTCAGTGAAGTACAATAAAACTGTGGATGTCAAGGCAGGCCGGTGTCGCAGTGGTAGAGCAGGTGGTGGCTGTTTGTACTTAACAAAGCCATGTTGGGTTGATTCCTGACCTTTGAACCTTTACTGCAAGTCTTCCACCATTCACCCTCCACCCTCTACCTCACATGTGTCAAACTCCAGTCCTCAAGGGCCGCTGTCCTGCAACTTTTAGATGTGCCTCTGCTGCACCACACCTGAATAGAATAATTAGGTCATTAGCAAGGCTCAGGAGAACCGATCTACACAGGGAGGAGGTAATTAAGCCATTTCATTCCAGTGTTTTGTACCTGTGGCACATCTAAATACTGCAGGACAGCGGCCCTTGAGGACTGGAGTTTGACACCCTGCTATACCTGTTGGCTGTATTGTGAATAAAGACCACCAGTGCCACAAAAGACTTTGAAAAAGATTAAAGGGCAGCACAGTGGGGAATTTAGTAGCACTGTTTTCTTGCCCCAAGAAGGTTCTGAGCTGTTGCTGAAACAATTGCTGCCTGGGGGCGTGGTCTCAGTTGAAGTTTTAAATTTTACTCAATCACTAACATTTGCCCTTGACGCATGTAATGAACCAGTTCAACGCTATGAAGCTTGGCGGAAATTGCCTGCACTTTAAGCAACCATCCTTCAATGCAAAGAGAGAAGAGTCTGGCCAAACGAGGCTGCTGATGTTAATTTAATAATATTTGGAATTGTGACCAACACGACTGAACGGCTTCGTTCACTTCCTCTGCTGCCATCGCTGAAACTACAGATGGAAAATCAATGTTATCATTCACGGCTTTTCCTTCTGTTCACTGATTGGCCTGGTAGAAAAATCTACCGGAGAAATCCAAGTCAATGGCAGAAAGCCTAGAATGTCTGTGAAGGGGAAATGAGAATTGAGCAGATTAGTATAGGAAAGCCAGGCTACAGCAGAGTAAAAAAGAGAGAATCAAATAAATATAAAAACCTTAGAATAAGAAGAGGTGGTGAGACCCCATCATCACACACTGACCCGCTGGCTCTCTGTGTTTTACAGTCCAGAAGGTAAACTTCAGATGTTTTGGATCACTCAGCCTGCAGAAGGAGGATACCCGTTTTTTTGAGCAGCCATAAACATTAAACCAAAGAAAGAGAAGAGGAAGCATCTGGCTTTTTAAACACACACACACACACACACACACACACACACACACACACACAATGACAATATTTAGGTCCCCTTATTGAGTCTGCTGGCCGTCTCCACTGCCTCACCGTTGATTAACACACATTCTCTGGGGTTATATATCCAATCAGAGCACGGCAACTCTGACCCACTCACCTGCTACGTGACATCATGACATGTTCTTCATGCTTTCGTGTGTGTGTGTGTGTGTGTGTGTGTGTGTGTGTGTGCGTGTGCGCGTGTGTGTTTGCGTTTTTGCATGCACTGCAGTAATGAGATCTCCAGGTGTTGAGCTGATTGTGTTTTTCTGAAGGAATGTTTCCTTTGTCATCATGCAGGCGTCCAGTTTAGACTGAATGACAGTTTGGCTTTACATTCTTAGCTGGCAGGTCATTTCCTCTAGATACACACGTTTGTATCTACAGCTGGGCTCATAAGTTTACATACCCTGGCAACACTGCAAAAACACAAAATCTTACCAAGTATTTTTGATCTAGTTTCTAGTGCAAATATATACACTTGAAACATACTGGACTAACTTACTTTTAAGCAAGATATATGAGCTTTTTAAGTCAATAACTGCTTTTTTAAAAGTACTAGCTCCACTGGCAGATTTTTTTCATCTATAATGTGGGAAAAATGTCTTATAACAAGTGAAATCATCTGCCAGTGGAACTAGTACTTTTTTATAATGAGCTCAGCAGATGTGCAGTTCCACCAGGTGTTTGCTAATTGCTGCTGGCTAGTCTGAAGGAGCTGAGTGGGAGAGTGAAGAGGAGGGCTGCTGTGTAAGTTTGTAAGCTGAAGCTCTGAGGAGGAGGTTGGTGGGACTGCGTCCACCCATGCGTTTTACACAGCTTAATGGTTGCCATGGAGATTAATGGATTTCTCAAACATGCATGAAAGAATCAAGGCAACACTCCAGGTGTGTTTTTGAAAAGGGGATAACATTATAATATGATGTACAGTTCAAAAAAGTCAATTTTACATGATACTGCTCCTTTAAGGTGCAAGATGAAAGTAGAAGAGGGCGATATTGGTTATGAGGGGGAAGCTGTCCAGTAGTCATGATGAGGTTTACCAGGCGTGTTGGTTGGCTTACTTAACTTTTTGGCTTTTCACTGTTTCCCACATCCGCTCTTTCAATTCACAACTTCCTTGTGAAAAACGTCACCCAGAGCTCGGTCACCAGAGACAACACAAACTTTGAGCTAAATAGCTAACTTAGATCTTTGACTGTAAAATTAAGTTAAAGATCATTTATTTTGAAGCTGTGGTTTTCATGTGTGGCAATCATATAAATCTCTGTGCAATGTGTCATCAACTGGCTCTGATCTGTGATCAACCCCTGCTGCTTTTCTGACCCACTTGTTAGAATATGGTTGTTTCTGTTGTTGGGCATCACTTCCCCATCCAGGTCCAAGTTTTGGGTCAAGCGTTGATTAGAGAACAGAAATGTTATCGCTGAGCCACACCTCTTCCTCCTTCCATTTTGTGTTATCTGCCTCAGAGATCCCACTTCGTGAGTCAATGGAAAGCCCAGCACAGTAACCCTAACTCTGCCAAGTGCGCTGTTATGATTCAAACATGTTTGTCTGATTTAGACAGAACGAGTGCAGCACTGAGATTGTGTCCAGTAACGGCAGCGGTGTGATTAGAGCGGGTGTGGCGCAGCTTCAATCGACGCGCTTCGTTCTTACTGCAGTAAACACAGAAACACTCAATCGTTGCTCATTTCCACCCCTCCATGCCATTTTTAGACTGACCCCGCTTTTTTTTTCTTTTTGTTGAAACTTTTATAAGTGAAATGTGTGATCACATTCCAAAAAAAAAAACAAAAAAAAAAACTGCTCTGTTTTGCTGCTTGGCTTGCTCTTTATGTAGGTTAGAAAAGAAGACAGCAGGAAAAACACTTCAACATCCAGCAGTTCTTTATAAAAACTCTTAATAGCAAAATTACTAATAATAATCACTATTATTAGTAGTAGTAATTATTTATTAATAATTATTATTATTAATAATGGGTGAAGTGTCTCTCTCAGGGTTAGAATTCCAGGGGACAAGATCAGAGTTACAAGAAAAAAGTCAGAATTTCAGAAAAAGATATCAGAATTCTGAGAATAAAGTCAAAATACTTTTTTTAGTGGCCCTGATCTTCTATAGAAATCTAAAGCCACATTTCGTCCCTCTTACAGCGGGAAGCTCTCTGGTCTCATGGGGGGTCAGGGTGGGGCGGTCAGGGTGGGGCGGTCAGGGGGCACCACCTCTGAACTGTAAACATTCTCCCACGTCAACATGAGCACGTGCCCTCCTCATCCTCCTCATTAGCTGACGCAAAGATGCCTCTGCTGCTGATTGGCCCAAAGTTTTACTGATTTGTCATTGTGTGAGTGCGTGCGCGCGCGCGTGTGAGTGTGTTTCTGATCCAAAGCTGAATAAAAGGTTGAGCAGAACTTCTCCGACCAGCTGTGATCAGAAAGGAGCGCAGCACGCGTCACGTCTCAGGGACCCAGCAGAACCGACAGAACCAGAACCATGTTCGCCGCCTGCCTGGAGGTCCTGGGGATGATCCTGTCCGTCGCCGGCTGGCTGCTGGTGATGATCGCCTGCGGGCTGCCCACCTGGAAGGTGAACGCCTTCATTGAGGGCAACATCGTGGTGGCGCAGACCATCTGGGAAGGGCTGTGGATGTCCTGCGTGGTGCAGAGCACCGGACACATGCAGTGCAAGATCCACGACTCGGTGCTGGCGCTGGCGCAGGACCTGCAGACGGCCCGCGCCCTCACGGTCATCTCGGCCGTGCTGGGGGTCGTGGGGCTGACGGTGACGGTGGCCGGGGCGCAGTGCACCAACTGCCTCAAGGACGAGACGGTGAAGAGGAGGGTGGTGTACGCCGGCGGGGTCATCTACATCCTCTGCGGGCTCTTCGTGCTGGTTCCCCTCTGCTGGATGGCCAACAACATCATCACGGACTTCCACAACCCGAAGGTCCCCCCCGCTCAGAAGAGGGAGATCGGGGCGTCCATCTACATCGGCTGGGCCGCCGCCGCGCTGCTGCTGTCCGGCGGCACGCTGCTCTGCTGCTCCTTCTCCCGGGGAGCCAGAAGCCCCTTCCCCATCAAACTGGCTCCCACCAAAACCATCACGGCCAGCGGCGAGTTTGACAAGAAGCACTACGTGTAAACCCACTGGAGGACAGTTTTGTTTAGGGGACTTTTAGTTGGGCAGAAGTCCGTCCAGTTTCGGACGGTTCGCTGACCCGGAGCTCAGAAGTTCGCAGGAGAAAAGCCTGTAAAAATATGAGTGTTGTTGAAATGAACGTAAATTACTGAGGCGGTTCGTAGCGGGTCAGCACGGCCAGGAGCCTGAACTCTGAGGACAATCAGAACCAGATTATAACTAAGGGCTGGGATGTGGCGAGGTTCCGATCCAGTCACTGACTGTAAAACCGAGCAGGTGTTGTGGTTGAGTTTTCTACTGTTTTTGTCATTTTTGTACAGATTTCTTTTTCTTATAAACACTACAGCAAAATGTACTGCATTTCCTTTTTTTTTTTTTACATAAAGAGTCTCATGATATTTGAAGTATTTTTGTTTTTCTTTAGAAAAATAAATTAAGTAAGAAATATGAATTATACTCACGGAAGGCTAATGTGACACATGCAGGGCTCTCCTCTGATGAACATGGTAAGACTTCAACTCAGAAACGAAAATCTTATCTTTAAACTCACTGCATTTATTTAGTGGAGAGTTAAATTCACCAGGGATTATCTTATGCATACAAATTGAGCCTTTGTGGGAAAAAAAAAATACTTTTTACGATAATCAGAGTGTCTATGAACGTTGAATTAGTTGTAATATGCAAATATAATTTGGGATGGGCACATTTCTGTTAGAACCTCTTGAGGACGGAAAAGAAACATGGCAGAAAGGCAGATGTGCATCGATTTAAAGGGAATGGCTTCAACAGGAAAAGAAAGTAAATACTGAGAGCCATCTCTACTGTCAAAGTCTTTAAAACTTTTAAAGGTAGAAATTGAAAAATGGAAAAGAAAAAAATAAGAGGACTGACTAAAGATTATCTGGTCACCACGCCCAGAACGTTAACTTAATGGAGTCCAGTGTAGCACCCTCCTCCATGGCAACCATTTATTAAAAATCTTTTGGATTTTACTTATGTAAAGCAATTATGACTATGTTCATTTTAATCAGATCATTTTAAGTATAATTTATTTTCCTGTTCAGTACTGATAACATTTTAACTTTAAAAGTGTAATATGTTTTTTTTCCAGACACATAGAGCCATTTTATAGCACAACTCTGTGACCTTCAGTTGTTACAAAAATGGTGTATATTAAACGTGACTTAAAAGAAGTTTGACTTTGTAATTTATTGCCTTAAAATTGGGCATCTGTCTCTTTAAGAAGCTCCAGCTCCTTCCAACACTCTTCCTTCAGCAAGTCATAACATGGCTCCTCCATCAGGCCGTTTACAACCATCCTTTTAGAGCATTGAGCTGAGTGGAAGTTTGTTTGACAAACTCGGTGTTCCACCACTTCCACCAGGTGTTTGCTAATGGCTGCTGGCTAGTCTGAAGGAGCTGAGTGGCGAGACTCAGCTGGAGACTGCAGCTCCAAGGAGGAGCTTCGTGCAAATATGCGGCTATTTAAACGAGTAGGCATTTAGGCTCACCTGAATGGTTGCCATGGAAGATTCAAGAATTTTTTTTCAAACATGCTCGACAAGAAAAAGCTACTTCAACGCCAACCAATTTAAATTTTTATTTAGAAGAGGTTCCAGAACCTAACATTCTCCAACTAACTGCTCCAAACTGAGTTTAAGCTGAACTCAACATCCAAATGCAATGAGAATAAAATGTTTATATCTTCTTCATTTTTTTTGTCCTTTTCATAGTTCATTGTGTTGTGCATGTCCTGGGAACGTCACAAAGTCTGTCAAACTGCAAATCTAAGAGTCTTTCATACGTCTACATGTCATAAACGGAGGCTTTCAGCAGCCTGTTACACTGACTGAACTAATAACGGATCAAAAGTCACTTTAAGAGTCTGCACACGTATTATTGACTTATCAAGTTACATACCAAACCTTTCATATACCATATATATATATATAAAAAACATTTGAAGTTTCAAGTTCAAAGATGAAGTTCTTGGGATAACGTGTGTGAAGACCTAAACAAAATCCCCTACCACACCCTGTTAGCTAGAGGAAACCTTCAGGAACTTGGCCCCCATAAGTGCTTGTGTAAAAGCTCCTGTTTGTATGTGGAATAAGGGAAATAAATAGGACTATTAAGCTGAGGTTTGGGTAATCAGGTTGGCTTTTCACACGCGGTAAACGAGAGGCGCTACTGCAGCGAACAATGCTCCCTATCGTCAGCACAATCAGCAGGGAGCCATTCCAGCATCCGGAATCTTGGCCTAGATCAGCAGTCAGAGCCTTCACATGGAGTAACGGAGAGGAAAGGAGTAAACACACACACGCACACAGGGGACAACAAAGTAGGCGGCAGTTAGCGCCCACACACACACACACACACACACACTGGAGCTGCTTCTTCCCACCATCGTTCCAAGCTCAAACCGCTGCGTTTTTTTATTAACACCTGCACATAATAAATTACAATCAAATATGTACATGCTGAGCGCTGAAAGGCATGTGAGGCAAACACACGGTGTGTCATCACACACACCTTCAGATAATGAATCAAAACTGTTTCAATTAGAGCGTCTTTAACGCAGCGGAGAACTAAACATTCTGATGATCTGCAAGTGTGATCACAGTGTTCCTATTACACAACCGCTCCTGATGTTACGATGCAGAAATGGGTCAAGACACACAAAGGCTCTCTGTCGCCCCCTGGTGGTCCGACCTCTGAATGGCACATGATGAGCAGTGAAAAAAAAAAATAATAAAGAAAAAAGGATTCTGGGAACGTGAACATAAAACCAGAAACCTCTACACTTAAAATATGAGATTTGGAGAAAAGATGCCCTGATTTTAAATATTTTAAGAACTGGCCAGTTAAGCTCTTATTTCATTTCCAGTGTGTTTCGATCAATGCCAGAATATCTTGCTGGTTTAAAACCACTTGAATCTTCTCTTCAAGTCTCAGTTAACGTCTAACGTCAACAAAAAGGCCTTTACCATTGGGGAAAAAACAAACAAACAAAAAAAAAAAAAACCTAGAAAACTGCATTTCATCCGGGATAAAGTGTCCATTTAGTGCAGAAGGGCTCCTATGACTGGTATTCCTTCAGGATCTGACCGGCGATGACCAGCCTCTGAATCTCGCTGGTGCCCTCGTAGATCTCCGTGATGCGGGCGTCGCGGTAGTGTCTCTCGGCGGGCATGTCCGTCACATAGCCCATCCCGCCCAGGATCTGGATGGCCTGAGTCACAACACAGAAACAGAACAAGGTTTTACACCGACCGACCAACGCTTCGGTTCTGCTCCAGTCCTCCGTTTGCCGTTTCCTTACCTGATGGGAGCAGAAAGTGGCAGCTTCAGACGCCGCCAGTTTGGCCATGGCTGCTTCCTGCGGGAAAACACAAAGAAATGTCCGTCACTCAGAGCTGTAACAAAGGTCAGCTTTTTATTTGGTTCCTGTGACCTGAACTGGTTTGATCACTGAATGTGTGGGTTTTTTTATTTATGGTTTGTTTTTTTTTACCATTATGTTTATTGATTTTTTTTAAACACAAAACAAGACACAAGAACTATATTAAATAAACTAATCCCCAAAGTAAAGAAATATAAATTTGATCCCATATGTTTGTGGATTTCTTTCATTGTGTTTTTTAACCAGAACTTTAAGATGTAAATTTTTTTTAATCAGTAACAACAATTTTAAACTTGTTGAAATTTATTTATTTATCATTTTAAAAACATAGAAAGGTTCTGGCCGGAATCTTTGTCTTTGTGCGTTTCTGGTACGTCCCTTAAATTTAACATAAATCCGACATCATCAGTTGAAATAGCAAAGTAACAGATGAAAAGCTGCTTCTCTTGGCCCACAGTGAGTCAATTTTTGCTTTAAAAATGATTTGCTTGGATGCTGGTAAACACAAGTTGTGATAAAAATAGCTAGCATATCAACAAAGCTATTCAGGTCTAAAAAAGCATCTGAATGCTAAACATGTTGCAGCAGCACAGACGTCCCAAACACATAATCGCATTTTGCACCAATCTGATGGTTGAACAACAAAATAAAAACCCTACATATCTTTGCCTTTGTTGTTGTATTTATTCAATACTTTAGCAGGAAAAAGGGCTTTTGAATAGAAAATGTAGCTTATTTTGTCAGTAGGCCATACAGTTTTCAATTAAAATGAGTTATTCCTTTCCACTGTCACCACATGCACACTTAGTATAAGTGACTGTTGCAAATGTTTTGTCAGATAGAAACTTTTTATCAGTTTGTGTAATAAAGTGAATATTACCACATTATCAAATGATTACGTATGAAACAGAGTTTTAACCTGTTATAATGATCAGAACTGGACTGATTCTGTAGATTAATTGAATCCATTTGTCCTGTAAAGTCCTGGATATCTTTAATGTAGCAAACTGAGTGAAGTGAAGAAACCTACAACATGATTCATCTGTGTCCTACTGTAGGTGAGTTATTTCTGCATCTAAACTCTTTAGGAGTTAAACTTTGTGACATGAGAGCAAAGGACAATAAATAATGAGGAAATGTCTGGATGAGGTCAGATTGAACTATTGAGTGTGTTCCAGACGTTGTGCAGAGGGACACGGTTTACCTTGGTGAAGGCTTTCTTTGCGTCTCGGAGGAGTGAAGCTTTCCAGGTGAGCAGGCGGGCGCTCTCTATGGCCACAGCCATGTCAGCCAGTTTAAACTGGATCAGGTCGACGGAGAAAAACAAAAGAGTTCAGTCTGAGGGATTGGCAACCTGGAATTAAGAAACTGTTTATAAACTCCTAAACTGAACTTCTGTTTTCACAGACATCCATTTTTACCCGGTAACACACTAAACTGAAATGAATCGGACTAAAACTGGCTCTAGCTCTGTAGCATGCGGGCCTGTCTGAGAGCGGCTGGTCTTGCCTGGATGGCCTGCAGCTTGCCAATGGGCGCTCCGAAGGCCGTCCTCTTGTGTGCGTAGTCGGCGGCGCAGTCCAGAGACGCCTGAGCGATGCCGAGAGCCTGGGCCGCGATGCCGATCCGCCCACTGTCCAGGGTTTGCTGAGGGACGCACAACCGTCATCCAACTTAGTCAGACGTAAACATCATTATTTGCACCTAAATATGCAAAACTTTGTGTTGAAAATAAAAAGGAAAAACGTGGAGTGGACCACTGTTATGAACTTTATTAACTGCATAATAAACACATTAAATAAAACAATCACAAAATGTCACCATCACAACTATGGCTATGGGACTTTTATTATTATTATTATTATTATTATTAGGGCTGCAAAAAACAATTATTTTAGTCATCGATTAATCTAAACATTATTCTGATGATGAATAGACTAAAAAACAAATAGTCACATTCTGCAGATTTTTCACTGAATATTGTAATATTAGAAA